AATTATTATTAAGCTATATGGGGGTTATTTCATGTATGTTATATTTGCAGCAGCAGTATTTCTTACATGCTCACAGCAGCATGTTGTGGATGTATTGGCAGTAGCAAGTTGGTTAGCAGATCTATTACGCCAAGACCAAACACATAAACATTGTCATGTACATTACCATGCCAATCCCTTTGAGAGCTGTCATGATAGAAATTTAATAAAATAAAGAGATTTAATAGAACATTATTTGGAGACAGGCCTGATTTTTATGCTTATTACAGCATCATCTGTATTTAACAAACATAACTCACTTCAAGTGTCACTCAGTTGACGAATCACAGGTTGCTAGTTTGTGTGTTTATCTGTTGTTTGAGGTGTCAGTCCCACAGAGAAGCTTCTATATCCTGGATCAGGAGCAACATCGAGTCTGCTGAGCTCTCCTGAGGAGAACAACAGGACTTCCTTTAATAAACACATCAGTCAGAGAGTGCAGAGGTACTTAAAGCACAGTGTTGTGAACCAAAGTGTTATTTCTGCTGTTTGTGTTAACTGTGTCTGTGGTTTTAATTTCAGAAAGCCTCGCTTCAAATATTGCTATGAATGCGGCCGTTCAGTGGGTGTTCAGCTGTCGGCCTGTACCCGCTGTCGTGAGGTCTTCTACTGTAGCAAGACCTGCAAAACCAAAGCGTGGGACGAGCGACACAGAGACGAGTGTGTCCGTGCGCCAGGTTGGTACTAAGTCTCGACCGACTTTTAATACACCTACCCAAAGCACCTTACTTAGTGAACTTGACTTTGCTCTTGTTTTCCAGTATAAAACATACTTAGAACAAGGCGCATGTAAATTGCATAAGACAATACATTTCAAAAAGAAAAAATAAATTATTGATGTAGTCTTGCATGATTATCTGAGTGGCAGAATGTGCTAAGTAATTATGAAAATTAGGAAATAAATAAAAATGATTTACCTGTAATTAATTAAAGCCATAAAAATGAATCCTTGAAACAAGGTCAATTGCATAAGATAATTGTTTTTAGAGAATACATTTTATATATGTTCTTTAAAATGTATTTTAATATTTTTTTATTATTATTTTTATAACCTTGTGGGTAAATATTGACACTACACGTCAACATTTTAGAATAATTATCATTTTTAGAACGATTTCTGAAGGATCATGTGACACTAAAGACTGGAGTAATGATGCTGAAAATTCAACTCTGCATCAAAGGAATAAATTACATTTGAAATATATTCAAATAAAAAACAGTTGTTTTAAAATATAATATTAATTTACAATATTACTGTTTTGCTGTATTCTTGTTTAAATAAATGCAACCTCGTTGAGTGTAAGACACTTCTTTCAAAAACATTAAGAATATCGTTATTATTTCAAACTTTTGGTTGGCAGAGTGTCTCTTCATTTATCAATTTTAATAAATTGTAGAAATTTTGCTTAGTTAAAAAAGAACAAAAAACAATCCAGCCATTAAACTTTCTGCCATGAAATGTGCCTTAATTAATAAATGTAAACAAATAAATTACTTTACTTTTGCTGCATTGTATTATCTTTAAATCACACCATCAGTTTTGGCACTACTTACAAGCTAAGCCTAAATTAAAGTTGTTCAATTACAGTCGAGCTATACTTTAGGAAAAGTATTCTTAAAAAATCTGTGATCCTTCCTATTCAGTCTTTATTCCTGGAATGACACAGCTAACAAAAATATGTTCTAAGAACAGAAGCTTTGTATGCTTCTGTATATATTCTTTGTATGCTTTGTATATATGACACAGACTCTGAAAATCAGTTGTGTAGTGTGTGAGCGGAGGATTTGTTTTTAAAGCAGACAGAAGATCTTATGGGATTTAAAGTATGAAATGAGAAATGACTCCGTCCTGCAGCGGTCCGGTCCTATGAGAATATAGTGAGTCAAGATCTAGTCTCCAGTAACAACAGTGTTATTTCAGAAGTGTTTTTGAGATAAAGGCCACACTTCTAGAACAGATGAGGCCAGATCGGAGTGCTGGAGAATCGTTCAGCAGGGCATCAAGGAACCTGGCAGGACCTGATTGCTGTATATTTAGGGTGTTCACAGTGTGCTTTTCTCTGGAGGATTTGTCTAGCTAATGTTTCTACATAAAATGTAGGTCCAAACAATTCTTTATGGCCACCAAACTATACACGTATATATATATACCATATGTACATATATATATATATATATATATATACACACACACACACACATAATTGTATAAGTAAAATACCTGTCAAGGAAACATTTTTTTATTTTTCAACTTGATGTACTCAAATTAAAATGAAAACTGAAATAAAAATTAATAAAAACTATGTAGACATATTAAAAAAATAAATTTAGTAAAAAAAACAAATTAAAAAAAAAAACTAAAACTTTAACACAAATGACAATGAAAACAACAAATATTAATAAAAACTGGAATAGTATCTAAAACTACACTGATAGGTGGAAATGAGACATGTACAAAATTGCTACCATATTAATATATAATACACTACAGTTCAAAAGTTTGGGGTCAGTACGATGTTTAATGTCTTTTAAAGAAATCTCACCCAGCCTTCATTTATTTAATCAAAAATACAGTAATAATAAGAAATAACTATAAATAGTAATATTGTGAAATACATTTTGGAGTAAAAATATAAATAATCTATTTGAATACATTTTATATTTTTCATGTAATGGCAAAGCTGAATTTTCAGCATCATTACGCCAGGCTTAAGTTCACATGATCCTTCAGAAATCATTCTAACATGCCGATTCGCTGCTCAGGAAACATTTATTGTCATTATCAATGTTGAAAACAGTTGTGCTGCGTAATAGTTTTTTAGAAACTTTTCAAAATAACAGCATTTATTTAAAATGAAAGAAATCTTTTGTAACAATATGTGCAAACAAATTCATTTGTATATATAGATGTATTTGATAAATTATCAATTATTTAAAAAATTAGACCCTAAACTTTGGAACAATGCTTATGTAGACTGATATTTACTTTATCAGTTGTCAGTTTATTCGGCATCTGTTGGAAGTGTAATCTCAAAATGGTTAAATATCATTTATTACAATGATGAACTAATGCATAATGTTTTGTTGTTTTCACAGTGGACAGTGGAAAAAGCAGCAGAGATAAATGCACACCATGTTCACCTCTGTCCACCAAAGATGCTAAAGGCAAGACCTTCCACCTCAGCGTGACCCCAGAAATGCAAGAATATGACCTGAATGAAAATTACAGCTTTATTTAGAATGTTACAAAGGCCTGCTAAACTTTAGATGTGTAAAAGGTTGCGGCTTCACATTAACATTTTTAAGACTAAAAGACATGAGCAAGTTCAAGGTCCGGTAGAATGAATAGAACTTATTTAAAAACACAGACAACATCCATTTCGTTTGAACAACTGTGCATGTTTATTACATAAAACAGACCAAATGTACAAATTCATACCTCAAATAAAATGCTAGTGCTGAAATTTAACAAAATCAAATGTTCCATAACACACATCTCTGCCTCTCTCGAATGAGCGTGTGCTCAGTCTGTCGCTGTCATATGAAACACATTACGCTTGTGTTTGAGCCCTTCTCAAAGTCCATTCATTGAGTCATGCGATCGACTAAGAGTATACAATGTGCTTTTCATTTATACTGGACAACCGAGTACAAAAACGAACCTTCCTGTGACAGAGATCGTACACTACATCATGTACATTCTCAACTGCGTTTACATTCCACAACTTTTTACATTTCGCATCTGACAAAACCAGGTCCTTGTGAATTCAGCTCTAGTTGTGCATCGAAAAAAGGAACGAATATCAGAAACATGAAGATCATTTGACTCCTTTAAATGCAACATTTAGGGACTAGATGTTGATATTGTGCAAGACATTTTGTAGGAATGTTTTTTTTGTCTGATCAAAAGTTCAGAAATATCGTAACATTACGCTCGTAAATCTGAATCAGCTCCTTGGAAGTGTTTTAAAACATCATTGCCACAAATTTAATTACATTGCTCTGGAATCAAAATCGTAAAATTGTCGTTATGCCTTACAAGCTTTTACTAAAAGTGACAGTTTTTATTTTAAAAGTATATTCTGTAAATGACTGCTTCCCATTGGCTTTGGCTATAATGAAATTCCATTCAAGGCAAATCATATCATTCAAGGCTGACACATGCTTCTATTTAACTTGCCATCGGTGCTGAAAATACTCCAGAAGTGACATTACGAATATGAATTTGCACTGCTCTGAGCAATAACACAGCCATGAGTTTCCAAATGCAAGTTAAGGGTTTGCATCAGGGTGAGTGAAGCAAATACTTTGTGCATTCGTGTCCTTTGGACGTTTAATATTTTACGTTTACATTTCAAGAAAAGAGAATCTCATGTCCGGGTCATTTTTCACACTAGCATCAGAGAAAAAATATTTTGCATTACAAATAAAGCCTATTTTGGGGGGCTTAATTAATTTATTTTTTTGCATTCTAATGTGTCAGGTTAATAAGTTCTCATGGAATTTTCTATAATGTAAATTAAAAAAATTCTAATTTTAATGAAAAGCACCCTATTTGGACACAATACGAAAAAAAAAAACGGTATAAATGAAATAATAATAATCATAATAATTATTATTATTATAAAATACCTTGATGTATTCATATGTATTGTTTTGGTGGAAAATGTGCTAAATTATGACAATTATTGCACAACTGAAAATAAAAAATTAGCCTCATGATGGTGAATGTAAAAAAAACAATATTTAAAAAAATACAAATTGTAATACTTGTAATAATTGTAATTGCGTATTATAGGAATGGTTAAATGTTTTTAATGGAAAATGTTAAGAAAAGTTTCAAAATTAGTATGAAAATAAAATTAAGAAAATAATTATGAATAATGCAAAAAAAAAACAGGATATATTTTCTTTTATGCAAAATAATTGCTTTTTTCTTTTGATGTTGGTGTGAAAAAAATAAATATTTCCTAATCCTTTTTTGTGAAATTCATCCATTATTGCAGCTTGTTATCATACAAAATAATTGCAGACTAAACCAATGAATCAGAGTTAAAAAAAAAAAAAACACCACTACATAATTCCTCAGATATTCAGCAATTTCGTATTTCAATTAATGTCCATGCCATTGTTCTTACATTTTTGTAATCTAAAAGGGATCGGACTGATGTAGTGTTTTGTAATTATGTCCGTCTGTGAAATATTTAAGACAAAAAGAACAGTTGTGCAAAGACAAACTTGCGTAACTCAAGCAGTGAAATGAAACACGAGGTGACTTGGTGACTGTGTGACTTTAAGAGCAAATAACTGTGGGTAAGTCGCTTAGGTGGCTGAGAACCTCGTATTGTAAATCTAAACCAGAATTCTTCCCGTCCAGTTTATCTTTTTACATTCAAAGGTAAAAAACAAAGATGTCAATTGATGTAACAAGTCAGTGTTTAAATCTGACATATTACAAAACATAAAAATACACAGAAACAAAATTCCTTTTCCACCTATTCTCATGTCGTATTCCAGAGGAATTAAAATGTCCATTCACGCAAAAGGTTTCTTTTTTCTTTTGGCAACATTTAAGCTCACATTTTCTCAATTTTCTCTATTCTTTTTCTTTTGAAACATTCCTTGTCCTATGCCAAATTTCCTGACCCAGATCCCAAAGTTCAATTTAGCGTCTCCATTATCGTCTCAGCAGTAGAGTTGCGAGTAACAGAACCAGTAAGATGACGGAAGGCTGAATCTGGTTTACAGATCCTTTGACTCTTTTGTTTTCAGGGCCATAGGCGTAGAGTTTGGGCCTGTCCGTTTTCGGACCGAAAACCGGAGGTCTACCTCGGATGCACAGGTGGTCCGCACACATGCCACTTCCTGAGCCACTGAAATCATCACCTAGAGACACATTATGGAAAAAACATGATGATTACTTTGGTGCAAAAAAGGTCACAGAAGTAATGGTTGCTATGCAGTATCTAATTTGCATGAAATTGCAGCATAACACAGGCAAAACCTTCCAGCCCTAGAATGGTGCTAAATTTTGCATCATTGAGCTTCATTCATGTAACAGTTGTAAAACAAACTTAACTAGTGAATTGACTAAATTCAGTTGATGCTGAATGATATACACAAATTTGTTCTCGTTTCATGAAGCCAATTGTATGATCATGTCTTTTAGTTAGCTCTTTAGCATCATACTTGTATCTTGGAAATCTACATCGTTGCCATCGAGGGCGTTTTTCAGGCGGTTTGACGTGATCTTCAGCAGCATGATTTGTTGACGTATAGTCCTGTCAGGCTTGGTGATGTCGATCTCCACCTCTGGGTTATTAATCTGATTGGCTAGCCCGTCGCCCATGACCTCTGGGAGGTAACTGCAGAAAAATCAATTGTCCAGAACCATTTCAATCACGCACATTTTGTTAATAGCTCTTGTATTACATTTTTCATTGAACATTTTTTAAAAACCAGGCTTGTAATACAAACTCGCATCATGCTATGCAAAACTTGTGGTTTTTAGCACATTTCAAAGGTGCAATGTTTGGTTTTTAGCATGTTGCAAAAGAATTTGATTGTTTTTTAATGCATTGCTATGTGGTTGCTAGGGTCTAGGTCTAGGTCTAGGTGGTTGCAATGCAATGGTTTTAGCAGTTAGTATATTGCGATGGCATTCTGAGTGGTTTGCTATGTGGTTGCTAGGGTGTTTTAGCTGTATGTTGCCAAGTAATCTTTAGATTTGGCTCAAGTCCCTCCTTAAATGTCTGTAGGGTTTTTATTCGTTGTCTGTATATGGACCATAATTATAAGCAATAGTATTAAGGATGCTTGCATTAGCAAACACCACTAATCACATACCAGTATGCATTAATTACCCCCATGAGTTTGCTAGTTTGATTATACAGAGCTAATAGGTATTAATGATGACTAGAAATAAAGGTTTCTTGGCCATATTTACTTAAATCTTCTCACACAAATGAAGATAAACCTCATCCAGTGATTAATCACTTCTGATGACTCTGGGCAATGGGAGTTCAGCTCTGTGGCAGTGATACCTAAACAATCAATTTAACGACTTTGGCCACAAAAAGAGGGACGGATGCAGTTTTCAGAAGTCTGCCAGCACTGACCATGAGTAACGATCTATAAATTCATAATGTGTGTTCATCCCAAAAGTCATCCATCAAAAACCTTGCACATCTATTTAGCCTTGAAAAGTGCATAAATTGATTACATAAACATTTACCACAAATTACACGTGCTAATTAGCTGAATGGACACCTTTCATCTTAGAATAGATTTGCCCTAAAGATGTAATACCTTGCTTTGGTGATGCCATTCCAACATTTGTCACCGTTGGTTGAAGATGCCGTTTTACCACTGCACAGAGCCGAGGGGAGTTGGATCCAGTAAAACTGCATTTCCTTCAGTTTACTGGACACGTCTGTGACCTGGGAATTGCACAAACACTTCAATAACAATGTATAAAACTAATAAAAGTTGGCCAGAAGTGGACTGCCACACATGCACACACCTGCACCTCCAGTCTGGCTGCAGATTTGGGGCTGGGTTTGTATTCCAGGGCAGTAACTATACTTTCTTTCATTTTCGGCTCCTCAGATATTGAACTTGGTGTTCCTTCCTCACCACGGTCCCCACAAGCCTTGAAAACCTGAAACGCAACACAAACTTAGTTGTGTATAGTTGTATAAACGGTCCTTATGTGATCAATAAATCTTTAAACTGTTTAAACTGACACCTCACATCTGAATCCAACCCACTCGTACAAGTTTAAAATAGATGCTTAATTCAATGTCCTAACCTTGCTGGTATAGATCTCCATGTTCTCCTGCATGGTGAGAACAGCCTCTGAGATTCTCACAGGAATTGAATAGATCACCGTGTCCATACTGGGCTCTGCACCAAAACTGGAGGCCACCTGTAGCATGGTTTCTGATTGAGGAAAACAGAGTGTATGAATAAAGTGTCAAGTAAGTTTCATGTCCAGAACCGAAATATTTAGCAAAGTGACAGCACTACCCAGTGGGATGCAACAAAAACAGAAATCAAGCAACCAACAGGGTAAGAGTTTGAGTGGTATAATCTCTGCATTACCTATAAGGCTCTGCCACTCAGTGTCCAAGTCAGCCTGATTAGCCAAGCAGCCCTTCATGACATTCTTGCAGTAATTGATGCAAGGTTTGACTGATCCCAGACCTCGGCAATGAGGGCAGTACACCAGTTTCATAATGGCATGATTACACTCCAGGCTCAAAGGAACCTGTGGGAAAAGTGACCATTAGGCATTTATCCATGAGCTAACACTATTGTGAGCAAGGCAATTAACACAGCATCGCTTCAGGAGAACCGTTCCTGTAATAAAAGCACTGCAAAACCTTTTAGCGTCAGCTGAACAAGTTTGTTATCATTTTCCATGAATGTTGATGAAGCTAGTTTGATTTTCTTTATTGTCTCCAGCTAAGCATGCTATCTGCATGTGGATTCAGGTCATCTATTATATAAGAAAAACTTTGAAGTAACTTTAAAGTCTTTTGGGAAAGGCAAGTTTGGAAGGTAGAGTAATCATGCTGTATATTAACTTCAGTTTAATCATTTTACTGCGACCGTGCGTGAACCTGCTGCTTATGCTACTAATGTGAACAGCTACTAAATGCATTCATTTTTAATGCTGATCCCTCGGAATGTGCCATACAGTGGATTCAGCTTTTACATATGTCAACATAAGACCACTTAAACAAGACACGCAATATTCCAAACTGATATATTCCCAACATCAGCAAGAATTTGGGTCTGCTTTGCAGAAATCTCCCGAGAGTTTGGCACCAGGAGACTGAATCCAATTCTGTAAGAAATCCCTTAAAGAACGGAGAGGTACCATTGCGCCCTACTTTCATTTGTCAAAGCAGCAGGGAGTTCTAAGGAAGGGTAGGGTAGCCACTAAGGACTTGGACTAATTTTCCTTGTGTGGGTTTGGGGCAAACACCTTTGGGAATGCTGCTGTGTAGTCATTTGTCTTGATGTCATGGATCCAGTATTTGGGAGTTTCTGTTGATTGACTTTCTAGGCAACTAGGGCACTCGAAGGTACTGCTCCCTTTTAGTGCATCCAGACCACCTACAGAGAGTATGGCATTAAAGGATATGCATGGTTTTATTTAAGCCACATATAAAAAGTATTTGGTGTCCTTGGACTCTCTCAATTGCACAGTGTTACACCATGGAACAATGATTCATTGAAGAGTTTTTCCCATCACCGTATGACTCTAATGTCAAATACACCTGTGTCTAGGAGAATACACACTTAATTTCCAAGGCAACACCCTACCACGGAACCCAAGGATCATTATAAGGAGATCTAACGCAAGATTCTTGAAAAATACCAGTCAGGGCAAGGATATAATTCGTATAAAATACACCTTGAAGCACTGTGAGGATTGTCATTATAAAGGTGAGAAAATACGGACCAACTGCACATCTGCAAAGAATTGAAGTTTTGCCAGAACTGGTTGTCTGGACAAGAAGATGTTGGCAATGCTAAAGAGTTACA